GTCGTCAAAATAGATGAGGATTGATCTAATGGGATTTGAAGATAAGCATCTTTTAGGTCAACTTTTGAGAACACTTTAGAACCATGAAGTCGATTTAGAATATCTTCAGCCTCTACCGTCATGCACGTTTGCTTCAACAAACGGGAGTTCAATGTTAGTCTATAGTCACCACATATTCTAGGAGTCTTGCAGTCCGATTTCAGTGGCGTAACAATAGGACTACCCCATGCTGAAGACTGAACCGGTTCAATTATGCCTTTCGCACACAAATCGTTTAATGTCTTGTGTACTGCATCTCGAAGACCATAAGGAATTATTCGTCTTTTAAGAAAGACTGGAGCACCCTGTACTTGAAGTTTTATAGGCTGAATTTTCAAACCTTCACTTCACTTAGCACACGTGGCTATCAAATCTCTAAGTAAAGTATCATTATTTTCTTTAGAAACTAGGAAAGACAGCTCCACTATAAGCCTTTTCAAATTCCTTAAGCCCAATATTGACAGTCCTGTCTCGCTAACTAAAAATTCAAAAGGTATATATGAAGAATTATCATCTCTTATTAGCAATTCACAACATCCTCGTATAGGCAGTCTGTGTCCAGTAATCCCTAATATTGATACTTCAGTGGGTCGTACCACAACGTTAGGATCTAAAGATTTCAAGTTCTTGAATGAAATAATGGACTCTATGCTGCCTGTGTCCACAATAAAGTCATGACATGAACCAAGCGATGTATATAATCGCTTTTGAATATGAACATTACCTTTCGAAATGGTAGACAGAGATAAAGGATCATTAGGAATAGTTGAATTATTTGGATCCAAATTACAAGATTTAGTACTACTTGAGGTAAAAAGAACAGCAGCTTTACATACTGACTGAATGTGTCCTATCTACCAGATTTAAAACATTTAGCACCACGAAATGCACATGAATGACGATATGATAAACATTTACCAAACTTCGTCCCACCTTTGTGATTTCCTTTGTAATTCCTCGTTAAAACACCTTTCCTATCTACATGACAATAAGAATCACTGTTAAATGAACGCAAGTTCGATTGACCCTGAGATTGTATTTCATCACGACGACTAAGCAAAGTATTAGAAATCTTCATCGACTGGATATGAAGTTCATTCACTGCCTCGTAGATAATACACACAGTTCTAGCATCTTGAAAGGAACAGTTCGGCATTCTTAACAGCTCTCTTTCCAAAGCCGGTATGTTAATTCCTGCGATTAATCGGTCTCTCAGTTACACATGAAGTTGATCACCGAAATTATATTTGGCAGCTTGTTTCTGCAATTCAAGAATGAATTCCTTAAACTTTTGGTCATTTCGATGAATCATCTTATGGAATTTCGCCCTTTCACGGCATTCAAAACTAGTGCACTTTACATGACTTAATAATAGCTCCTTAAGAGTTGCATAAGAAAGTGAGATAAGTTTTTCTGGATATGCCAAAGTTTTCAATAAGCTGTACGCTTCTCTTCCGATGAATGTGAGAAAATGTGCCACAATATTAATATCCTCATCATCTTTCTTGGTCATGCTCCAGATTTCAAACCTTTCCAAATAGTCCTCAAAAGCTTCAGAAGTTGAATGAATATCTAACTGTTCCATCGCAGATCCTGCTTGCGACGCCAATATGATAATTAGAAGTATTTGAATTATAGTATGAACTAAGAATCCCAGAAATAACACAATTCAATCAAGAAGTACTACACAAGCACTAACGAATGTACTGTATTTAGAATTCGAAATCAAACATTCAACAAGTACAAAGGAGTTATTTGTTCATTCAAACACCACAAGTACTCATTCAAGAACTTCACCTGTAACATTAAGCTTGATTCATTACAAACAATAAACTATTCTGTTATTCATTTTGCATATAAGGTAAACTTCAATGTTTTGTTCCCATCATTCTATCATCATTATCTGTTGTAATCGTACATTATGTTAGTTCTGAAATATTTCCATTTTTCTTATGTTCGAAAAGAAATTTTACGTGAATATTTTCTCTAAATAAAAATAGCATAAATTTTTCATCAGTATCAGATTGTGGAAATTGTTAAATTTCATTGATCCTGACATATCGAGAATTGGTCCATTACTAACAGATTGTTTCATGGACAGTTTAGAAAATAACCAACTCACAACGATTATAGGAAACCTCCACTTGTATAAAAGGTACTATGATAATTAGAAGTAATTGAATTATAGTATGAACTAAGAATCCCAGGGATAACACAATTCAATCAAGAAGTACTACACAAGCACTAACGAATGTACTGTATTTAGAATTCGAAATCAAACATTTAACAAGTACAAAGGAGTCATTAGTTCATTCAAACACCACAGTTACGTAAATGATATCTTTATCATTTGTGACAACAAATACGATCTGAGTCATTTCCTAAATATTTCGTTGAAACTAGGAACCGGTTTAAAGTGTGTGTGCATGATCTATATATATATATATATATATATATATATATATATATATATATATATATATATATATATATATATATATATATATATAAACGTTAAACAAGTTCATACGAAATACCGATTAATAGCACAAAATTTATTGATATTATTTTGTCTAATAGACTGTTACTATCATTATCAGTACTTATAACAATTCATTATGAAAACTAGCCTTAAACATACTTGATTTATATACAAATAACAATATGTGATATGTAACATTTACACACATTACTATTGACTACTTAAATATAAATATAATGCATAACCCTATAGACAATAAATGATTGTTGACAATATAAATGTTTTTTTTTTTTTTTTTGAAAATGGCTAAATAAAATTTAAATGATGAATGTAATGTTAATGTATCACTATAGTAAATAAACTAAATGTATTTGATTGGTGTTTATAATTTAACTATGAATGTATTTATGTATGAATTCAGTATTTATACTACAGTGAATAGTGGAAAATTTAATTTCTTTAAGATTTTCTAATTTATTTAATCTTTTTTTTTTTTTTTTAAATCCTAATTGGTAAGTCAAATACACTTTTGATCTTGTTTATCTAGTTATATTGATATGTTGTGAATATATTATATTGATATAATAATAATAATAATCACCAACAACCCCATACGCAGAATTCAAACCCAGAATCTTCGGTTTTGCATACAAACTCTTAAGCTTTAGACCACTAAACCGGTATTCAACGATGTTAACGTCTAACTTTAATCTATCTATGATCTTTCTCAAATCTTCATTGATTACTTACAGGGGGTAACTACATCATATCCGAAACAAATGAACTCCACAAGTTACGGCTTCTCACTAAAACTCCAAGAACTACCTGTTGAAGCTAGTTACTAGTGAGCACATGATAATTATCAGCATACTCTACTGATTATTATTGTAATTACTATTATGCGAATATACCTTTGTGGATGAAAGTAATTTTGCATTGGTTTCCAGGAAAACCAGACATTATTCAGGCTTTAACACCAGTACAACTCATTTCTATGGCTCAACCACACAGGTCCCCAGAACTAAGGTGGATCATTTGCACTGTGTATATACATCTATATATACATAAATATTATACATTGGATCCGGCCAATGCTCGAATCGATTAACTAAGTACAGTACAGAGAGGCCAATTTTAACCTATTTCGATAACGTGACTGTCAAACCCATTATTACTAAGAATTGTGATATGCATTACAACAACCGAATGACAATGGCTCCTGAGAACACTAAAAAGCTCAGCGAGTTTGACTACCTGGTAAACTAGTTTGGCATATAAATAGTCAGTAAAACTTGACAAAGTAATGACAAATCATTCATAATGAATCTTCAATCGAATAGAAAACCTTCACCTCTGAATAGCAATCATAAATATTTAAATATTCATAGATACACTTATGATCAATGAAATTAACCATTTTAACTAGCAGTTGTAAATAGATGAGATGGAGAATGTAGCTACTTATATAAAGACATTGAATGATAATATAAAAAATCCAACTCCATGATAAGAAATCTACATGCAATTTTTGAGATCTTTTATTATAATTAAAATAAGAATTCTAATCCAAACGCTAATCTCTGACAGTCCTTCTTCGGACAACCGTTAAGCATTAATTCATACTGATAAAATGTCTCATTGGTCGTGTTCAGATCGATTAGAAGAAGTGAAAAAAGTTACTTATTGGTAAAATCTGGGAACCATACAGCAATATTTTATGTGAAAAATATCCAGACTCAGACATTTTTGTTCCTTCGCTTTCATATCAATCATTCTCTGCTCTCGTTCTCTTCTCTTCGATTTTCTCAACCTGGCATTCCACTTTCGATTAGTGGAACGTACTACTCAAATCTGTCGACATTAGTAGCACACTCCGCAGTAGTAGAGTTAGTCGTCGCCATCTTCGTTGTAGTAGTAGTGTGGTGGTGGATGTTACTTATGCTGACAAATACAAGTAGTATGCAGCCTCAACCGGGAGTGGAATGACTGATAGCAGAATATTGAATTGAAGAGAACAGAAAGGAAACCGGAGAGCGATCAAAATTATAAAAGAATCGGACGAATAATGGAGCATGTAAAGAACAAAAAAGAAAGATGAGAAAATTATGTATTTAATGTATAATTTTTATGTTACTAAGCCATTGTATAATCTTGCATCTGAGTCCCCGTTCACTACTGCAGTAGTAGCACCAATAGTAGTAATCATAATGATTATCACCAAGATGTTAATAGATCAGATAACTACAGCTAAATAATCAATTAACATGTGTAGTATTTCATTGAGTTTCATACATTGACTTATTGTTATTCTTCGAATATCCTGTCTAAAGTAGTTAAATAATATATGGGACAAATTGTCAAATTCTTACTTATTTTCGTGAGAAATTATAACTTTTAAGGAATGTAATAATTTATAAAAATGAGTGAACAGTTCACATATATATTATAATCATTCCATTATTTTATTCCATAGATCTAAATGGTTATATTCGAAAATTCTAAACAAAATGAACCTCCTTCCGGTGATGTGGCAAATGATCACAAGAATACCAAAACACATATTGAATCATGTGGTAAGTTGATATCAAGCTAATGGTATAATATACCGATGACCTTGGGAAACTTAGCAGCCAATCAGTAAACACTGCCTAGTTATAAATTCATTAACAATGAAAAGTGATGAATTAACAGTGGAACAAAGGCTTTGATCATAGTAATTAACCCTCATAAGTCGAATTATCTGTTCTTGTAAAGAAAGAAGGGTATGTTTACATGTGTGCACGCACATCAGGAGTTGGGCTAGTGTTATGAGCTGAGGATGTCACCCCTTAAAGCTTTTGCCAGCAACTGACATCATTTATAATGTAAACAGGTTAGGTTTAAGCATTGAGATTTAATCTGGAGTTTTGAGTCAGGTTTACAAATTAGGGTCAGGGTTTTCCTCATGAGCTAACATCGTTTATAATAAAGTCCTTTGTCATCTTTCTGTTTATAAACTCTTATGACTTGGGGTAACAAAAGGAGAACACAATCAAGCTTCACTCATCACTTAATTGAGCGATGAACGACATCAAGTACTTTAACAGACAATCTGACTTCAGAGTATGTATGTTATGTAATTTAGCTTAGGCACCATCTAAAATTCACTTTTTGGTTTCATAATAGATATTTTCATTGATTTTAATAGTTTAAGAAACAAATAATGCCAATTTTCACTGGATTAATAATAACATCTTCTATTCAAGAAGATTTGGGAGGAGGAACAAGTGCCGATGGATTGGAAAGAAGGACACCTCATCAAGATTCCAAAGAAAAAAGATCTGAGCAAGTGTGAAAACTACAGAGGCATTACACTACTGTCAATACCAGGTAAAGTCTTCAACAGAGTGTTACTAAACAGGATGAAAGACGCAGTAGACGCTCAACTTCGAGATCAACAAGCTGGATTCCGTAAGGACCGGTCGTGCACAGACCAGATTGCGACACTACGGATCATCGTCGAACAATCAATTGAGTGCAACTCGTCACTCTACATCAACTTTATTGATTATGAGAAGGCATTTGACAGTGTAGATAGGAGAACGTTATGGAAACTTCTTCGACACTACGGAGTTCCTGAGAAGATTGTCAACATTATCCGGAACTCATACGATGGACTACAGTGCAAAGTAGTGCATGGAGGACAGCTGACAGACGCATTCCAAGTAAGGACCGGAGTAAGACAAGGCTGTCTACTCTCTCCCTTCCTGTTTCTCCTGGTGGTCGACTGGATTATGAAGACCTCGACATCTGAGGGAAACCACGGCATACGATGGACAGCTCAGAACCAATTAGACGATTTGGACTTTGCAGGTGACTTAGCCCTCCTATCGCTTACACACGAACAAATGCAGATAAAGACAGCCAGCATAGCAGCAGTCTTTGCATCAGTAGGCCTCAACATACACAAAGGGAAAACCAAGGTCCTCAAATACAACACGGAGAACAGCAATCCAATCACTCTTGATGGCGAAACTCTGGAAGACGTAGAATCCTTCACATACCTGGGAAGCATCGTCGATAAACAAGGAGGTTCAGATGCAGACGTCAAGGCGAGGATTGGCAAAGCTAGAGCGGCATTCCTTCAACTGAAGAACATATGGAACTCAAAACAACTTTCAACCAATATCAAAGTCAGAATCTTCAATACGAACGTCAAGGCAGTTCTACTGTACGGAGCTGAAACTTGGAGAACTACAACAACCACCATCAAGAAGGTACAGGTATTTATCAATAGCTGTCTACGCATGATACTCAACATCCATTGGCCGAATACCATCAGCAACAGCCTTTTGTGGGAGAGAACCAACCAGCTTCCAGCTGAAGAGGAAATTAGGAAAAGACGATGGAAATGGATGGGACATACATTGAGGAAATCATCAAACTGCATTATGAGACAAACGCTAACTTGGAATCCTGAAGGGAAGCGGAAAAGAGGAAGGCCAAAGAACACATTACGTCGGGAAATAGAAGCAGATATGAAAAGGATGAATAAGAACTGGAAAGAGCTTGAAAGGATTGCGCAGGACAGGTTTGGATGGAGAATGCTGGTGAGTGGCCTATGCTCCTTCTCGAGGAGTAACAGGCGTAAGTAAGTAAGTAAGTAATAATAACATTTACGTTATCTGTCACTGCACGTGAAACTTCGCGCAAAATACAGAGGGTGTTGTCTCATTTATGATTGGTTAACTTAAAACCATCAGTATATTACACTTTTACCGATAAATATCAGAGTAATAATTGATAGGCTTTGTAACCACTGCCCATAATCCTGTGACAAATCTAAATTCAGAATCTTGAACTATTTCGCTTATGTCATTTACTCTTACGATTTACTGTCTCTGGCTTAGTCAAATACATGCCCGATCAGCACTATTAACCCTGAATCGATGGCTGATTTACTATTGGTCCACGGCTCTTTAGCTTCTCATGGCTAAGTCTTAGGGTCTAGAAGTCAGCAACTAATTTCTAGTATACATTATAGTTCAAACAGACAGTTTATTTAAAGGCAAATCAGACCGCTTCACAATATTTAAAAAAAATAACCGAAGAGGGCTAAGTTTATCACGTAACGAAGAAACTGTTTTCGCCAAAATTAAAACCAATCATTTTATTTTACATAGCACGAAATGATTATATTTCCAAGTAGCGTAATCATAAGTAGCCTTCTTTATATTATTGCGACTGTTGGTCAATACAATTCAGACGAAATAACGAAGATCTTGATGGAACAATTAAATGGAGACTTTACTCCCTACATGTTAGTCGTTCGCTATAGTTATGTTCTCTGATATACATTTAAATAGCGAGCACATAACCCTTTTGTCTCTACAACTTATATATATAGTTGTTACCAGTTGTTTATTTTTCACTTGCAGAGGAAACGATTATAAACTTATCAGTATCAAACGACTCTAATAACGAAAACTCTCAAATAGCTGGTTCAAATTCTCAGATTGATCATCGTTCGAACTATTTCCGCAATGAACCATCTCCATCTTCTGATTCACCAAAACTTACTAATATCAATATTAGATTAAGTATTCTTACCAGTTCAAGTTCTCCGAAACCAGTAATTATTATCATTATTATTATTAATTGATATTAATGGTGTTATTATTATTCATTACAAGTAGAAAATTGTGTTGTTTAATTTCACTCAAAAAGTCAAGATTTTAATTATTAGAATTTACTACTATTCAGTTAATTGTAATAAGTATAGTATGATCAGTTCAATAGTCAGGTCGGAAGATAAAATAATATGATAACATGAACAAAGTCGCACCAAGACCATACAGAAAAGTTGCCATATTTCAAAACCGTCAAGAAAAAAAGGAACGAAAAAGAAATTAACTGAACCTAATGAATTAATAAAGAGGGAACTTAAATGATTATAAGATTATCAGAAGAGGATTTTGTAGAGATTTTAGCAATTTAATAGTTGAATTCATGAGTCAATTGCAGCTAGACCATCATGGAAAACCTGAAAGCACTGGATGGCCGTTTTGTCCTAGTGTGGGACTCCTCAGTAGTGCGCATCCATATTCCTGCCCCGTGGGATTCGAACACAGGACCTATCGGCCTCGCGTGTGGACGCTTAACATCTAGACCACTGAGCCGGCATCTAATGATGCTAATGTCTTACTTTAACCAATCCACGAAATTGTGCCACCGCTCACCATTGTCCCATAATAGGACGAAACGGCCATCCAGTGCTTCCACGTTTTCTATGGTGGTTTAGCTTCAATTGATTATAATATTACTCAAATTTTACTAGAATTTTATTTGAAACAATAACCGAAAGTGTCTTTCTTTACGAATCCAATTACTTACATAAATTTTGCCGTTTTTCAATTGGTTAATATTATTTCTAGTTCGTTAAATTTCCTCACACTTGAAGATCATGTTTTCGTTACTATGTATACGAAGCTGTCACATTTCGTTATATTATGTTTGTTCTACTCCGAATATCAAGATTTCCCATAATTCATCTTTCCATTGTGTTCCTATTATCGTTCTACACATTCGAACCGATCATATTAGAGTAGATCAATCGTTCTTAATTCCATGAGTATTGTAGGTTCATAATGAACTCTTAATATTAAAAATTAACAGAAATGAAAAAAAGTACATTTGATGTAAATCTATGAGAAATTACTTATCAAATGTTAGATTTTATATACTACTAGTTAGGTTAGTGTATTGAGTCCTTTTTTCATCTTAGTTAAGGAGAAACTCAGATCTAACATAAATGAATTACATAACATCAATTACAGACAACTCTTTAATTATATGAACTGTAACTTATCAAACATCTGAATTCAGACCAACTAAATTTATTTATTAACAATTAGGGTATGATACTGCCTAACTACCACTTCTTCACTATTAATGTCAAGTATTTCACAATGCTATGATAAGTTGATGATTTGAACATTTTAATTTTTAAAAAATAGTCAATGTAAACACATTTTATTTGTCAGTATGGAGATTTATGGATTGTATTATTTTAACGGTTAAATTCGCGAGTAAATTTATGCTAGACCATCAATGACAACCTGGAAGTACTGGATGGCTGTTTCTTCCTAGAATAGGACTCCTTGACAGTGCATATCTTCGGTTTATTTAATTAACGAGAATTAATATATTCATTTCGGACTGCATTGATATAAGATTGTGGTTGGAGGTAGTCAACAGGAAACCCTGGACCTAGGTTTCGTGCTAGTTTGCACTCGTCAGCGAGGTCCACCTGTAATCTTCAGGGAACTGGTGCTCAGTCAAGGACGTTACCACTGAGCTATCCGGGCAGCGAATGCCAAGTAGCACCAAAACTAAGTCCAGGATTTCCTATTGACTACCTCCAACCACCATCGTATCTCAACATAGTGCATTCAATATCGAGTCACCTAGACTAGTGACCATATTGTAACTTGGTCGATAGGTTTCTGTCTGAACTAAGAAGGATCTGACAGACATGACATTGATCACTACCCAATGATCAATCAATTTTAAGGATTGTATTGATTTTTAACGCTTAGTGCTTACTGGTGTGTTAAATCCTCTAAATATGGTTGTATTAACATTCTATGAATAACTTGTAACAATCTAATTTCTCATTTGTGAAGCTGTTGACTGTAAACACTCAATGTACAACTAATTCAAATTCAGTTTTATTTCGTCTAGTTAATATGTTGCATTGTGTTAGTGAAGTGTGAATTTGATCATTTACTCAACTAGTCCTTTAGTGAAGGAGAATACAAGTGTGGAAAATCGAATGTATTTGAGCAGAAAATTACAGAATCTCTTAGTAAAATCTAAGAACCATACAGTGAATACTTCATTTGCAAAATATCAGTCAGTCGTTTCAAACTTTGTTGTCTCTTCTTTTCCACAGCGATCATTCTATGTTCTCGTTCTCATTTCTTCGATCTTCTTAATCCTCTACCGCCAGGCTTTCACTTTCTATTGATGATGCACACTACTTATATTTGTCGACATCAGTAGTATACACCACAATCTGACCTATAGATTAACAATCTATAATCGGATCATAATTCAGTTTTCTTTCTATTATTTTTATGAAAAATGAAAAAGGAAAAAGATATAAAAGTAATTTTTTTTTAAATCTCTTGATCATTGCAATTTTCTCTTAAAATTAGATTAGAGATAAGTTAGTTACTTTCTCTACAGGTAAATGTTTTAAATATATTTCAGTTTAAATATACATTGAAGCTTATTCCCCTACCACAAGCATTGAATTCAACTTATATAGAAGGAGTATATGAAGTTATTGATAATGGTAATAAATCATCCACTCAAGCGTCAAGTGTGAAACAAATGTCATCAGACAAAAGCTCAAATGAAGTAAGCAATTTCATAATTATTATGTAATATATTTGTTAATATGAATTTGAAACTAGAATAGCTTGAAAATAGACTGAAGACTAAGAAAATGTTGTATATAACTAGAGTTTGGTTTATTTTGAAACCAACAGATGTGCACACATTGTTCTATACGATTTATTAGTTACTTACTTACGCCTGTTACTCCAAATGGAGTATAGGCAACCGACCAGCATTCTCCAACCCACTCTGTCATCCGCCTTTCTTTCCAGTTCTATTCAATTCTTGTTCATTCTTCTCATGTCTGTCTGTCTCCATTTCTTGGCGTAATGTGTTCTTTAGTTTTCCTCTTCTCCTTTGGCCTTCAGGGTTCCATGTGAGGCCTTGCTCTGTGACGCAGTTGGGTGATTTCCTCAATGTGTGTCCTATCCACTTCCAGCGCTTCTTCCTGATTTCTTCCTCCACTGGGATCTGGTTTGTCTTCTCCCATAGTAGATTGTTTCTGATAGTGTCTGGCCAACAGATCCAAAGTATTTTGCGTGGAACACTGTTGAGGAACACTCGAATCTTCTGGGTGATGGCTTTCGTAGTTCTCTAGGTTGCCGTCTCATACAGTAGAACGGTCTTGACATTTGTATTGAAAATTCTGACCTTGGTGTTGGTTGACATTTGTTTTGAGTTCCAGATATTCTTCAGTTTTAGATATGCTACTCTTGCTTTATCGATCCGCACCTTCACCTGTGCATCAGATCCACCGTGTTTATCAATCATTCAGTCAAGATATGTAAAGTTTTTTACATCCTCCAAAGCCTCACCATCAAGTGTGATTCGATTGTTGCACACAATGTTGTATCGGAGAACCTTGCTTTTCTCTTTGTGTATGTTGAGATCTTCGATATGTAGTAATCAGAAGACAGATGAAAATATCTTGACTGAATTCAGTTACAATTCAAATGTGAAGCATCTTTCATTATCAAGTATTTTGAAAATTCACGTTTATCAAGTCCAACCTACCAAAAGTGACTAGTAATTTTATTTATAGAATGAAAGTGTTAAACATTATAATTTATACTTTCTGGTTTAAAGCAAAAGGGAATATGAAAAGGAGATGATATTGACTGTACCGAAGCACTCTAAAGAATGAGAATCTCTTGGTACCTACATCAGTGTAATTTAGAACAACTGAATTTTTCAAGCGGAAAAGAAAGGAATGCAAAAATACCTCATTCAATGTAATTCATACCAAATCATACACATCCTTATGAGTTCCATCTACTGATGTGAAAATTTTTTTTGACTCTGGCCTATTCATATTCTATCTGTCGAACCTCATTTAACCTTTTGTCAACAAACTATCGTTTAGGTAAAACTATGAAATTTGTGGACCACTTCTGTGTTTTATATTGAACAGATTGTTCCATAGTTTTTCTTTTTAGTAACCGAATATTTGACTCCAGTTAAATCATATGCGAATTGTTATCAAAATACACACAACGGCTATTCTCTCACATAATTACTGACTTCATTCACTTTAAAGAATAACGGAATAAAATAAGCCAAATACAAGAATCAATTTTGAATACTTATATTTCATACACTCATTTATCCAAGCAGATAATCAGACAAACGAAGTGAAGGAAGTGAAGTGAGACGAAGCAAAGTGGCGAGCAATGCAGAAGGAAAGTGGACCAACTCGTTCTGATCAAGTGTGGCTCAATATTCATATACAGACATAAATAAATTACCGACACGTAATAAATAAAGCAAGCAATTAACACACATACGATCACATAAAAAACAGTCAGGGTTAATAAGCGAATAAGTGATAAAATCAAAATGTGGCTTGAGAAGAATGAATAAATTGGTCTGTCCAGTAGCTTCAATAACCATTTGGGCCTGACATAATATCAACCACTACAATTTCATCTCCGAGACAAACTTACCGAACGTTTTCAGATAGTGTAACTTTTGAAAGATGCAGTTCTCTCAACGTCAAGTGGGAAAAACTTTTTTTATTACATTAGACGAATTACTCAAAGGTTCCACACAATCGATTCTCACAGTTTAATATCATTTGTTTATCAGGTGGATGAAACCTACTTACATCTTGCAAAAGAAACTTGCGATCAGTTAGACAAGCTAAAATCAAATCGAATTTTGAACACTGAATCTCATTCTCTGCCATCGAGTTCTCTGAGAACTCAAACAAAGGTAGGTAGATACTCAGTATATTCATTTATCATTATCGTTAGGATAGTTAAACTGAACAGAATGACAAATAGGTTATTCAGTTGCAAATGGTATTACTTGTCAATAAATGACACACACCCTTTATCGTTTTCGTTAAGATTTAGGTCGGAAATAGCGTTTTTGATTTACAATGTTGCTAACTATAGTTATTCCATTGAAATCATGAGTCGATCAATGTTGAACCACCACTAGAACCTAGAAGCACTGGACGGCCATTCAATCTAGTATGGAACTCTTCAGCCATGTGCACGAGTAAATTTGCACGCAGGACTCGAACCCTCGGTTTCACTCACAAACGCTCAATCTCTAGACCACTGAACTGGCATCCAACGATGTTAACGTCTAAACTCAATCGATCCATGATCCAGGGCATCTATTATTCATGATGAGTAAATACTTCGCATTCGACGCGGTTGAAATCCACTAGTCACGGCTTCTCACGAGAACTCAGAGATCTACCTTTCAAAGCTAGTCACTGGTGAGCACATGATGATTTTCAATATGTTGTTGTACAGATTGTTGAATTTCATTGAGACAGAAGGTCCTGAGTCCGACTCCCTGTGGTGAGGTCGTGAATGCACACTGCTGAGGAGTCCCATACTAGGGTGAAGCGGCCGTCCAGTGCTTTCAGGTTCTAAAATTGATCGGTTCATGATTTCAATGACATTCAACAGTCTCCGTAACCCCTTAGTGAAAATATGATTACTAAATCAAACAAATCACTCAAAGGTTCCACACAATCTATTTTCATAGTTTATTATCATTTGTTTATCAGGTGGATGAAACCTACTTACATCTTGCAAAAGAAACTTGCGATCAGTTAGACAAGCTAAAATCAAATCGAATTTTGAACACTGAATCTCATTCTCTGCCATCGAGTTTTCTGAGAGCTCAAACAAAGGTAAGTAGATACTTAGCATATTCATTTGTCAAAATCTATAGAATAGTCCAAATGAATAGAATAACCATCAGCTCATTCATTTATCAACGGTATTATTTCTTGATAATTTATTTCACTTATTTTCAGGTCTATTTATTTTATTTTTTTCATAGATGCATTAGTTCTTCAGATTGATGTACATGATGTATGATGCTTAACTAACTATTCACTGTGAATAAACAATTTATATGGTAAATTTATTTGCTTTTAAATGGTTCAATAAAAAAGTGACAAAAAGGAATATTAATATTCCAGGTATAGAGCTTATGGCAACATTAAAGGGAATTAGGGCCAACGAAGGATGAGAAGTTGGATGAGTCGCTTCTGCACGCAAAGTTCGGGCTTGAGTTTGTGGATTATTAATATTTCAGTCCAACCTGTCATCCTTCCTTGACCTTGATTCAATAAAATTTATAATCATTTTGCTCACTAAACAACAGAAATTCTGGGTAAATTATACGTCTTCAGGTCTCATTAAATCTGTAATTCGCTTAACTGAATGTTATACTTTTGATTGAAGCTGAAAATCACTCGTATGGACTCTGTGTTAATTACGAGGCAGCTACTTTACAGTAAGAGAACTTTTTATGGAATTGTGTGCTTACTGAGATTACAGAAAGTAAAAACACGATCATCTTTACCTGAAACTCTCTGTCATTCGTCAATTTCTTCACTATCATGAGTATTAGAACGACGATCGAATCATGTTGTAGATTGCAAATCTATAATAAATTTGGTTACCAGAATTGATATTGTAGCGGCATTGGTCCTAACTATATAATCCTCAAAGCTGAACATGAGATGATTGGGGAAATGCATATTTAACAATTAACACGAAGAGAAGGTCAACAATGGAGAAGACGGGAAGAACTAATTGAATTCAATTCAATCGAATAGCATGGCTCAACCCCGCAGACGTGGTTATTCTGTATAACCTGTCTTTATTCACTTTAAATATATTATTCTATATCTAGCCTAAATGTGTTCTCCAGAAGTACTAAATATCATATTGCTCATTCTCACGATACGACAAATCAGTGTAGAAAATGATGTGAATTCCACGTAAGTTCTTATACATTAGGTATTCACATCATGACAAATTTAAAATTTTAGGATCAGGACTATTATTAGAGCAGTACCAACAACGAATCCAGACCGTAATTCTACAATATATTTCAACCTTAACCTTCTAGGTAACTTTAAATACAACGACATTACACACAAAAACTAGATCACACATTTTATTTAACAAGAAATCGTCTCTCTAATAATATTATCATTCCACCATGATGTCCAGTAATTTACCATATAAATGGTTCTAACAAGCGTTTTGACCGTAAAAACAAGGAACTAGGTGGGCAAGTTGATGCTACGCTTATTTTTAGCGATTTCAACCGAGGTTACAACAGACAGTGTGTGTTTCAGAAAGAGAAGTGATTTTGTACTTATTGTGAATTACCCTTGTTCTTGTTTAATTACTTACTTACCTACGCCTGTTACTCCAAATGGAGTTGTTATATCTAGAAGGTTGATTACTTGATATAACGCGTATAACTGAACACAAGAACGCCAAAACCCTTCCAAGTCGCAAGGAGAAGACAGAAGACTAGTGAAAGGAATGTTATTCCAAACAGTGTCAATTATTGGTACAAATTGTCAGGTATTTATAGTTTTTAGTAAGAACAAAATTCATCATTATAGTCCTCCAATCCTCATACAGGGGGTTATTAGCCTTGTCCAATCGGGAAGCTACATGTAGGAATTCTAGAATATTCTTCCTAACAGTGATTGGATGGAATATCTTCGGCTTCTTCTGAGGCTCTTATAGCTTCCTCGAGTTTACCCGTGGTCCGTCGTCACACCTCCCTCCTTCAAAGTCCGTTGTGTAAGACTTCTTTCTCGGATCCACCTGGAACTTTTTGGCCGCATTCCTCTTACAGTCCATCACTCTCGAGGGTTGTACAACTTCTCCCTTGCGTCGTTTGTCTTCTCTATGTTTGCGCTCATGATGTCTTTTCTGAGACGAGTCCATGAGCAATTGAAATGGGAGCCGGCTTTCTAGGACCACTGTACTGCTGTTTCTGCATTTGATTTATGTGTCTTATGCATTTTCTGACACCTTTTCGGACTAGGTACAATACATTTCCGATTCGAAGTTCTATGACACCTAGTTCCCAGTTCCTATTACCTTGATACGATTTGACAAGTACCCTTTCACCCACCTGGAAGCTACGAGTAACCGTACGATAGTCATTCATCGGTTTTATTGTCTTTCTCGGTGGCAACATACCTTTGAAGACTGTCCGAATTTTCCTTCCGAACATACACTCGGCTGGTGACTTTCCTTCTGGTACTGCCGGATTGGGGGTAACTTTGTAAGACATTAGGAACTTGCTGATCACTTGTTCTGAGATACCCTCACCTCTCCCCTTTACCAGAGCTCTTTTTATCGTATCCACGAATCTTTCTGCTTGGCCATTCGACTGAGGATGGTACGGAGGAGACTGTAGACAGGACCAGCAACTGCGACATTTTTGTTCTATATCACGGTTCATTGACGGCCAGTATGCATGGCTGCGAGCAAGTGATTTCATTTACTTATCCCCGGGTGCCCGCTGTGAAACTGTTTAATGACTTGGTGTTGAAGACTTCTGGAGATAACGATACGGTGGCCAAACATGATGCACGAGTCGACAACTGTTAAGGGATCTCGCCGACGTAAATATTATAAGAGTTCGCCACGTAGTCTAGATGAAGGCCACTTGTTGAGTATGCAGCGGTGAACAATTTTCAATGTATTATCCTTCTTGCTAGCTTCTTTAATGGCTTCGAATGTTACCGGGAGTCCGGAAACTGCGTCTGTTAATACTTCGTGAACTTCAGCCTCGACTTCTATGGCAGCTACAAGCACGTCCTCTTCTTGTTTTGCATGCGAATCAATCAACCTTGAGAGGGCATCTGCCTGTCCGAAGTCGGTTGTTGGTTGGTACTTTATCTTGAAATCATAACCCAGTAGCGTAGTTGCCCATCTCTGTAAACGGCTTGCTGTATATACAGGGATACCTTTTTCAGATCCGAAAACTGTCAGTAGCGGTTTATGGTCTGTTAGTAAGGTGAACTGTCTGCCGAACAGCATCTTGTGGAACTTTTTTACAGCGAATATGATGGAGAGAGCTTCTTTCTCAATCTGACTGTAGTTTCTTTCAGTCATAGTCAGAGATCTTGCTGCGTGGGTGATTGCCTTCTCAGACCCGTCAGGATAGGTATGTGAAATCACAGCTCCGATTCCATAATTTGACTCATCTGCCGCGACTATAATTGGAAGATCTGGGTCATAACGTGTAAGTAGAAGGTCTGATGATAGGAGCTGCTTTAGTTTTAGGAATGCTTCTTGGCATTCGGTTGACCAGAACCATTTGATATCCTTTTTCAGTAAGCAATTAAGAGAAACACGAAGGCGATGCAGATCTGGAAGAAAGATGCCATAATGACTAACCATTCCCAAGAAAGAACGTAAAGTTGGTACATCCGTCGGTGGGGGCATGGACTTGATGGCTTCAATGTTTTCAGGATCAGGTTTTCTCCCGTTTTTATTGATTATGAATCCCAAATAACGGACTTGCTCCATGTAAAAGTCACATTTTTCAGCACGCAACCTGAACCCATAATCTGCTATGCGTCCACCTTACTCTCCAACTCAGCATAGTCTGTACCCATGATCAGTGTGTCATCAAGATAGGCCGCAGTACCAGGAATATCTTGTAACATAGTATCCTTAACTTGTTGGAAGATTGAAGGGGCGGTTTTTACACCAAAAGGAAGTCTGTCATATCGGAACAATCTTTTATGAGTGTTTATTGACAGATAATGCCTACATTCTTCCGCTACTGGAATCTGTAGATAAGCTTCTGACAGGTCTAATTTTGCAAAATACTTACCCTCATTCAGTTTTGCAAATAAATCTTCTGGTACCGGCAAAGGGTATTGATGGGCTTCAAGCGCTTCGTTTAATCCAGTCGAATAATCTGCGCATAGCCGGATACTTCCGTCTGGCTTTTTGACAATCACTATTGGTGCTGCCCAATCAGAAAAGTTCACTGGTCCTATTATTCCACTTCTTTGCAGACGCTCTAGTTCTTGTTCAACAATAGGTAACGCTGCATAGGGTACAGGACGTTTTGGTTTGAAGACGGGGGTGACTCCCGGTTTAAGAATTAGCACTGCTTTTGCCTTTTTGCACTCCCCCAATTCTTCTGTAAATACTTGACTATGTCTTTCTAACACAACATTCTTCAGATCCTTCTCAACTGGTTTACTGGTTCTTACGGCGCTGCATATGGGGTTAATGGAGTTATTTGTTGATTGTAGTGTTTCTAATAGGTCTAGACCCAGCAAATCTAGTCCTAGGTTCTCTGTGAGATATGGCGTTGCATTCGTCTTCGGGTTTCCTTTTGAAACTGTACAATAAACCTCCCCAACAATGTTCAACTTTCCTCCAGAAGCACTATGAGCTAACTGGGTTGTTGGTAGCACCTGTGGTTTGCCGATGAGTTTCCAGGTTCTTCGACTGATAAGTGTGATGTCGGAAGCAGTATCGAGCTGCAGGCGGACACGCTTTTTATTTACATCTACGTTCACATACTTTCGTCGGCGGCAAATTCGTGCTCGATTATGTGATACCAATACTTCGTTAGTTAGTGCATTATGTCTGTATTTCTTGAGATAGAGCTTCGAAGAATGTCGTTTATGGGTTATTTTTCTGCATCTGTTTTCTTTATGGCCCTTCCGGTGACATTTACTGCAATAATGTTCTCTATATGAGCAGAACTTTTTATAGTGCCAACCTCCACACGACCAACATGGAGATGAGGGCTGATTGTCTGTGTGTGATGATTTTCTTGAGCCGGCATCTTTCTTTTCATCTAACAGCATAAACGTATGGCAACTGGCCATTATTTTCGACCATGGAAGAGTCGTGTTTTAAGTTTACTGTAGCGGTAAATAATTCCCCAATATCAAATAGCTCTGTAAGTTTTCGACATTGGATGCTGACCACAGTTTTAGTGGACTCATCTAGCTGAAGGCGCTCGGTCAAGCATCTGCACCAGATCACGTGTGGGAACGCCGTGCTCAACATCTGCCGCAATCGCTAGCCTGATTAGTGCAAACGATCCTCGATATATTGATAGCTTATCAAATATATCTTCGATCTCCTCACTTCTGTCTTTTGATTTTACTTGGTGGGTGCGCTTCGTATTAGAAGGTGTTACTGGTTAAAGCGTTGTCAAACTCCGAATACCTGTGGCATCTTCATTGGTGAGCCCGACGTGATCTGGTACACCATATTGTAAACTTTGAGTCTGTTCCTTTTTGTGATTTTATATATCATTGTCTTATTTTTATTTTTTTTTTAACACTGTGATATTTTTTCCCCGTGTTTTTTTGGGTTTATATATATATTTCCCACTCGTTCAATTTTCGTACTTGATATATTACTATGACTGAACAGACCCCTAAAGTATTTAAGTTAAAGACTGTGTCCCCACCCTCTTTCCAACTTATGCCTTTCTGGCCAGACAACATCGAAGCCTGGTTTTTTTTACGCAGAAGCCGACTTCTTCGAGCACGGTGTGAACGATGCGCGTACATAATTCCTCGCAATAGTCAAGGCACTACCGCGCGAATTTAACAGGTACGTAACACCTAGTATGTTTACTAGTGATGTTTCTGATCCATACCAAACCCTGAAACATGCCATCCTTAAACGCGGAGATCTAACCGATCGACAAAGGTTAGACCAACTCCTCAACAACATCGACCTGCAACACGGTTCTGCCACAGACATGTTGCAAAGAATGCGAGAAGTCATTGGCCAAAGAACCTTCGATGACGGCCTATTCAAACAACCTTTCTTATCCAAACTTCCTCAACGGGTGCAAGCTGTTTTGGTCTCGTTCCAAAACAACGCCGTAGACGAGCTAGCTGCATCTGCCGACCGCATTCTCGAAATCACTAAGTCTTCCAACGCCGATGTTTTTTC